TACACCATATCAATATTATAATTTGTGGAGACTTTGCTAGAATGCATTTTTCACATTATTATCAAGGCGGTTTTGCAAGTTACTAAAAATAATGATTTTCTTTGACATTCTGTTACCGGTTTTATAATTCTGCACAGCTGTTTTTGATTACAAAATGTTTACAAAAAAGTACTTTTCTAAACAATTACTTGCAGAAAACATTTTCTCATAGCATATGTATACAAAACTCATAATATAGGAACAAATTAGCAAATTTAGACTTCATAAGTTAAAAGTTCATCTACATCACACTGTAAATTGTTTAATTCTTCACAAACTGAGAACTAACAAAATAGCATCCTGGTTATTTAATAGCAGAAATTTTAGTTACTCACTCTGGATCAATAGCACTTAGGGCCATTTTTAATACTGTAGAGATTCCATACAAATCAACTTCATGCATAGAAAAACATGTAATTCCAAGTTTTTCAATCAGCCATCTGAAATGCCAAAAATTATTTCCATCAGAATTATTATGATTTTCTCAAAAAAGACAAGTTACATGAAATTGCATTTTTGTAGATCATCAAGACTGCAAATTACAGATACTGAAAAAGATATGCTGGCTAAGCTACATGGAAAATCTTTGTACCAAATTTATATAAAAATACACAGATATGCATACAAAACTCTTGCATCATTTACCTTTAAGACTGATATTATATAAGTTTATTTTTCATGCATCTATAACACCCAGGTAAAAATTATGGAGTCACCACAATGAGAGGATGTTTATCTAGTCTTTTTTTAACTCATTAGTCATTTATAAATTTGGTATCAATTATAGGTTATAAAAATCCATACCTAATTTTCCCCATCCATTTTAGGGATGGGGGGAATTAATGGATTCAGAGCAAATTTAAAAAGAAATTATTACATATGGCACAAGACAATTTTTGTTTAACTCCTCAAAATGGAATCATTGTATAATAAACCTGAAACAAATTAAATATAATTATTATATCTAATGGAATCATTTTTACAGATCAAATAGAAGAAAAAAATAATGAATCATCATAATTAATGATGGCCTAAATTCTTTGATACATGGACTTCATTAATATAAAAACAATATTCTCTATCAAACTGATTCTAACTTTTTCAAATAGCAGTTGACAAGTCAGCTTTGTCATAGGCTATGTTTTAAAAATTTCAACCATAAATTTTCAAATAACTTGAGATCCAGACTGTTTGACTTGATATTTCTTGAAGAAAATCTTTTATCCCCTTTGTTCTGTGACAAGATGCATTATCCTCCTGAAAAATGGACTTCAAAATTACTTTCTACTGATGGAATGAGAAAAGTGTCCAAAATACCAAATATACACTTATGCGTTAACCATTGAGGTAATAATTGCTATCTTACCTTGTCCTTTACCCAATATGCAAACCTGTAGCAATTAATGAATTGATAAATGTGCTTGTATTTTTTTCAATTATCTTAAGTTTCAACATCATTGTTTTGATCAATAAAATGTCATTATCATTGAATATCACTTTCACCCAATCATCTTCATGATGATTGCTTCTCTTGTACTCTACTGTAAACATGTTTCCTCCTTTTAAGTAGTTTTTCTCTATCTAAATCCTATTTTCCTTCAATCAATTTCTTACAGTTCTAGTATAAACATTAACTCATTAACTTTTCATCAATTTGTTTTTTCAAGGCACAATGCTTTGAGCTTTCTATCTTGAGGCTTTTCACATCATTCATGGTTCACCCTTATGTTTTTCATTTATGATTTTTCCACTTTTTATTCATAACAAATTTTACATACAGTTGACTGAAAACTTAATTTCCCCAAGTGTTAGGTGGAGGCTTGGCTACTGCACATATTATATGTTCAACATAAAATAGGCAATTATTTTTATTTAAATTTTCTTGTTTGTACATTTTTTTTATAAATTTATAAATACAAAGAATTGTTTTCATAGATATTTCTTTATAAATAATAAATATTGGTTCATATATATTTATAATCTTGTAAATATTTGTTCACATATTTTTATAACCTTGTAAATATAAAATTATTATTATAAATAAACAATCTAATAGTATTTAATATGGAAATAGAACAGTCTACCCTGGTGGACAAAATGGGTTTGGTTTGAAATTCTAATTACCTGAATAAGGCCAGAGTGTACAACGGCTGAAATGTTGTGAATATAGCAATGAAGATGAGGGTAACAGCCATAATGTAAATAATGTAAGTAATCATAATGCCTTATCTCAGAGATGTAGACAGACATTTAATATTTTTGTAGTCAATTCCCAAAAAGAAAAGAAATCCAGTTGACACTGAGCTTTCCTTCCTGACTAAATAAAACAAAATTACAGTAACCACCCTTCTTTCTATGATGGATATATTCCAAGACCCTTAGTAAATGCCTGAAACTAAGATAGAACCGTGTTTTCTTTTTCCTATACATACATACTTATGACAAAGTTTAATTTATAAATAAGGAACAAGAAGAAATTAGCTATAACAATAAAATTGAACAATTACAACACAATATTCAAACGTTATGTGAAAGATTTATTCTTACTGATGATAATCTTTTAAGTTAAGTATAAAACTTTTCCCTTTTCTTTTAAAGAAAGGACTTTAAAGTTCTTCTTTGGAATATCCAAATTGCCAGCATTAGTCCACTTGTGTTTTGAGACCATTATTAAGTAAAACTATAGAATTGTTCATTTCTAGAGTTCACTACTGGAAAGTGAAATCATAAAAAACAAAATTGTAAATAAGAAGGATCACTGTACTCTTTACCTTCTGACTCTCTTACAAGATTTATGTAAATGCATATTACATTACAGAAAGTAGTAATGCAGTGTTCTCAGCCTAATTAAAATGCATCAATTACTGACTGACTGGGCATATCCACTCAGTCCGTGTGCATTTTTATCAAATTTTTAATACTATTACATTATTGTATACACTCTAATGGCTCTAAAATGAAACCTAAGAGGAAAGTTATGATATAAGTGAAAAAGCAAATAATAGAGAAACATGAAAGTGGAATACATGTCTTTGATCTAGCAGTGAGTTTTTTGATACCAAAACAACCATATGCACGATACTAAAAATGCATATGAACAAGGTGATCAAAGCTGCAGATGTTAAAAAAAGAATGAACTAAAAGAAAGATTGCAGACTGAAGAAATAGAAAAAACTGTTACTGTTATGATGTTGATTTGTGGTTAGTAGAGACAAACGCCAAATAATACGTAACAATAAAAAGGGTTTTAATAGGTTGGTAAAAAGGTACAGAAATCGCCTGAGTAGTCAATAACTAGCTCAGCTAAGAACTTCTCTGTCTATCTGTCTTCCCCCCATGTCAACTGACATGCCACTATTTAAAGTCTTTGTTCACAGATGCAGACAAGTTCATCTTCAAGAGGGGTGGTAGGTTTCCAACACAACAGTTACTGAACTGGATTAACAAGAAACAATTAGCTAATGCAAGCATTTCAGAATCAGTAATTTGTGAAAAGGAAAGGCAGTTAATTATTATCGGAAAAATTTTCAGTTTTCAAATGACTTTTTGGAACAAATTAAGTTCAAGAACTAAATTTCATGAATTAGAATAATCAAGAACCTGTACTGGCAGCAAACTGCTTGCATATGAATAGAAAATGAGTTCAGCAGATATTCAGATATATAGACAGGGGTGTAAGCCAAGGATGTGTCTTCTCACTGAACTTATTCAACCTATACAGCATGGTTATCCTGAAAGAATTAGAAGTCCTACGAGGATTCATTATTGGTGCCCACAATCTCAGCCATATAAGATATGCAGATGACACAGAGTTGGTAGCAGACATGGAAAGAAAATTACAAAAACTCCTACAGAATGTAATGGAGGAAAGCAAGAGGAAAGGATTAAATATCAACTTCAGGAAGACAGAATGCATGGTTGTTAATAAAAGGACGAGCCCCAAATGCAAATTACAAATCAGAAATATTGAACAAGTACAAAAATTTAAATATCAATGAAGTGTTTTAACAGAGGATGGAAGGTGAAAGATGCATTCCAAACCTAAGCAGAGTATTAAATAAGAGAAAAACTTTGTGAGGAACAAAGAAAAGTGTACTGATCTGTTACAGGGTATAAGTCTTCGTATATGGCAGTCAATGCTGAATTCAAAGATGAAAAAGAAATTTGAAACAACAGAAATGTGGTTTACAGAAGGACCTATTAGGTGAACAATGATGAAGTTTTAAAGAAAATGGAAACAAAAAGGAAATTTATTCTTAGCATCAGGAAAAGACAGTTAAAATTTCTAGGGCACATAATGAAGAAAGAGGGTTTGGAAAATTTGATACTCACAGGTTAGATTGAAAGCAAGAGGGATAGAAAAAAAACAATGCATAACCAACCTAGCGAGTTTGAATAAATGGATAGCAGAACAGGGTTTAGGAGAAATAACAAAAAAATCAAAATTTATTAAGAGCTACAAAGGACAGGGAGTTGTGGAGAGCCATGATCGCCTATGTTCTGAGGGGACATGGCACATAGAAGAAGAAAGCTAGTTCCTTGATTTCCAGGTTTTCTGAACACTAATTTCTGCGACAGTGGTCATTAATGAGTTATAGGCATAAATCTATAATAACAGATTTTTGTTTTAAATTTTGTAATAAATACCAGATTCTACAGTAAACATTAATACGTTAACTAGAGAGGCATTAACTTGAAACCTAATAACTTCGAGCCAAAATTTAATAAGATACAAGAGTTATTTGCCTGTGTTTTTTCAAATATATAATTTCTGTGTAAGTTTGTTGTGTGTTCATACAGCATTTTTTTTTCTCAGAGAGTAGTTGTCTATAATTTTGCAAGCAATATTGACTGAAATATTGTAAAACATTTAGTGTTCAGTCTAATACAATTCATTTAGTTATTAGACTCCTAGTCAGAAAAATAATTATAGATTATATAGACATGAGTTAAATAATTACTTACTTTTCTGCTGAATCCACATCTCTCAGACCAATATAAGCAATATCTTTGGCAGAGATACTGAAATAAAGTAAATGTAAAACTGATTTTCTGCAAGAAGATGTGAAAGGGATTCAGTTTTTAGGATAAATGCATACCAATATTAGCAATGGCGTAAGAATTGCAATCTTAATAAATAGTTTGTGATACTGTAGTTGACATATGAAATTTTGTTGCATGGTAAAAATACTTTTTAAATACAGTATAAACCTGTTATAACATGATTAACACCCAGAAAGACCTTATTGTGAAACAGAGTTATGCTAAATCAGATTTCAAGAAAATCAGCATTCATGTACTGTTCAAATTTACCACATCTTTAGTTTTATATATATATATATATATATATATATTATAATAATAATAAAGAGAAAGAACAGTAAGATATATAATCCGGTGTTCTTATTAATATGTTGATACAATAGTTATCAGTGAAAAAGAATACCCTACTGCCCCTTGTTAAAATAAGTGGATTTCCCCATATCCACAGAAACTAATATTATGAATGTATGTGCTTATAAAACTCAGTAAATTTCAAAATAAGTTATTCCAAAATTCACTTGAAAATGAAACAGAATTAGGGACTTTAATTTAATTTAATTCTAAAATTGAATTTGAAGTTTTTAACTTCTGTTTTTGAAACATGTTAATTCCTGTGTAGCAATGTAACCATATTTTTAAATAAGTAAATATATATATATATATATATATATATATATATATATATATATTAATTTGGCCCTCTTGTCAATCAGTGACCCAATTATATCAGAGTACAGAAAATCAGAGTTACTGTATTTTTCAACCAATACAAGACCCAAGAGCCACTCAATGCAGAAGGTTGTTGTAAGGGCATAAAGGGAGGAAGTAAGAAGTGCATATTATGGGGATATGTAAGATAGATAACAGTTGGCCCTCAACTTGAAGTGATTAAGATCATAGTTTTTGCGGAAGCATCCAGCTGGAAATATGATCTACAAAGTAACAGCTCTGGGGAAGAAGCTGTACGAGTAGAACTTCCGCTTTATCAATGGAATACAAAGGAAATGTGGTTGAGTCAACTCTCATATGGCATTGTGGTTCCCAGATGTGAAGATTCCAATTTGTGGGACTAAGAAGTGCAGTTTGTCCGAACATTTGCCATGAAAATAGTGATAGAATAGTGAAAAGATAGAAATATTTCATCTGTGGGAATCAGGTTGCAGGGCAGAAAATAATTACTCAGCCACAAGAATGTGTAAATACTTTTGAACTGGATAAGTCAAGGCTGGATAATAAAAGTGGGTAGCTCCAGACCAGATAAAGCAGTAATACTCCATTTTTTGGTTTGATCTGGCCTTTGTAAATGGATGGCAGAAGGAGTTAGGTACTTTCTGGAGTGGTTCAAGAAACCAACCATTTTTTCATCATTTTTAGCTTGAAATCACACCACATATTGCCAATTCACAAGGACCCAATTAGCAATGTCCCAAGCCCAGGTAAGGTGCTGTATGTAGTGTTGTGTTGTTAACAGGGACACCCTGGTGGATCTTCTGCTCCCATATCCAATGGAAGCTAAAGGACACTGAACTTGCTGGATATCCATCTACTACCTCCTGCACTGAATGTCAATAAAATTTGAGTTAGTGTCACTTGTCTGTTATTGCAGAGAATTCTAGCTAGACAGCTATAGTCAAACACTGTGCTGTCTACAGTGGGTAGTAATTGCCATTCATCAGTTATTCCCAGTACACAGGTGATACTGTAAATCAAAGGATGAAAAATGTTCTATCCATCTGAAACCTATTATCATGTCCAAATAGAATAATAATTCATATTGACTTACCAGATAACAGAGCACATGTGATAAAGAGCATTTCTATAACAAGGATACAATTGCCCCACCCACCATTACCTTTTCATTCTGTTATTTCATGAATTGACATGTCAGTGTAGAAACATTAAGAGTATAAACAAACTAAAACTAAAAAGCCAGAAAAATGCAAGTAACATAAATATCTATATAACAGAAATAACTTATGCATCTAATATTCCTTTCTTCCTTCTGCATACTTGGGTGATCATGTCTCTTTTTTTTTTTTATTCATGACTGACTTGACAGAAATCATATAGTAGGCTGCTGTTACTTTCTGGAGTAGACTAGTTGCCAACCAAGGCTATAGGAGCCAGTCTGTCCTGTTGTTTAACCCATAGCTGAGAGAGAAGAGATGGATTCATATCTTCCCCAAGAGTATTTGTGTGTAAGTGAATGTAATAAACTTGATTGGGATCTGAACTCAGTTCTCAGATTTCTCATTTAGAGCCATTATCCATTACACTCCCTGCACATCCAAGCTTACAGCACCTGGTACTGACCTGGCTTAATTTTGCTTAACTTCGGTGATCAGATGAGAACTGGTGTTTCAATGTCATATGGCCATAAGCTCAAATATTAAAGAGAATAAATGACCATATTAATGAAAGAATTTATTTTAACAAATAATCAAAAGACAAAGTTTAGTAGGTAAGCATTCTATTTATTTCCTGTGTCTTGCAATATGTATGCAGGCATTATTATTAACAGGTATGTAGTTTCTTTATAGTCTTTATGCTTGCAAGAGAGAATCAAAAACATTAGGGAGTATGGGAAGGGTTAATGTTTGCATAGACTTGTGGGTTACTCCACTGGTTCTGCCAAATGTGCTCAATCAGGGGATGCTCTTTAAGCCTGCAAGTAGGCAATAAAATTCAAACTCACTCTCTTTTAGCCATTTTTAGTTCTGAATTTCAGATATAGTTACATGTGGATAAAGTGTCCCCACTGAGGCACCTTCATTTTCATGGTTTTCTCACTCTCTTTCTCACACACAGACTTATAACTTGTTAATGTTTTTACCTTCCATAACAAATTGTTGTTTTGTTCATGACCATGACAAACCCAGCTATGCATCATTTATACACTTTTCAAAACTGAGAGCCATTGAAAAAAGTAATTTGATGAACTTCTTTACCATAACACATGGGCACAAAAAATTTATTCTTACAACAAAATTTGTTATTAAATCCAATGTAAAGAGCAAAATCATAAATTTGAAAACTTTAAAACACATCTACATGACATAGCAACTATCTGGACAAAATGGTCACCAAATCACCCAAATTTTTGCAAAATTCAACATGTGTGAACAAAAATTACTAATAGGTACAAAAATTGCAATTACTACTACAACTACTATGGTCAGCAGGTGAGCAACACTATTCATCCCCATTGCCTTTCTTTCTCTTAGCTACAATCACACATGACCTACTACCACTGGCAGATAGAAAACATAGCACTGCAACATTTAAACCCAACTTGAACAGCCAAAGAAAATTTTTCACAAAATGAAAAATGTGATCTAAGTTTGAAACTCAGTTCATTTTTTTTTCAAGGATATTGCTAATAATTCACAAATAAACCTACGTGGTCCACACAAGAAAATATCATTCAAACACAGATTAAGTCAACTTCTCTCTCCACTACACAGCAAAATTACAGTCTCTCCCAGAAAAAGATATGAACCAGAACGACTAAGACATCTGCAAGTATGATTTAATGTTACATGGAGATAGCTGCACCTCCAAGAAAAGTTGGCAATAATACCAGATATCTTCAAAAGTTCTCACAAAAGATACTTTGTCACTTTACCAATTTTCACCAGCATCAGCTCAAAAAAATTCCAAATCAAAGCTTTTTCTAACTTAAAATTTTTGTCTTGCCAAGATGATCCCCAGTCAGCAAAACAAATGTGGGCCTTCCAAACAAAAATCAACTCAATGTGGAGCATTGGAAAACAACCACAAAATTTTAACACCAAGCGCTGGTCTCTTTCTCTATTGTGTTTTTCAAGGTGAAAAATATGCTACAGATATGTTTTCCAGAATGTGCTACATTCTGCCTCAGTAGAAATTCTACAGCACTCTGATAACATTGTACTTCAGACAGATACATTTTCATCAATATGTAAATCGCACACATCTCAACTACACCATTTGACTTTCTTATCAGCTTATGAAGAACAGAACATAATCAAACTTTATAAACATATCGACAGAATAAAATTCTCCCAATCTGGAGGAGGTCCTGTGGGTTACTTCACTTGGACCTTCCAAAAGCGCTCACTAGTAGTACTCTTTAAGCCTCTAGACAAGCAATGATATTCTCATTCAATCTCTTTTAGCAATTTTTAGCTCTGTCTTTCAGGTGTGGTTGCATGTGGGTAAAGTGTCCCCCACTGAGGTACATTCATTTTCATGGTTTTCTCTTAACTTTCGTACTGTCTCACATGCGCATATACACACACGTGTCTAACACACACACACAAACAAGGCTATTCTTATTATAACTTGTTTTAATGTTTCTTTTCTGTTCATTACAACTGCCTTTACATGTGATTCCTTTTGTTAATACATGCATTGTCGTTTGTTTTATATATGTTTTGTGTTACTCATTTTTACCTGGACTCACATTGAGTCCACCAACATTGTTTTCAGGATAAATGTTGCAGGAGTCCATAAATATTTACTATCCAAAGTGTTGATTCCTGCAACCAAGCTAGAATGAATTTACTTTTAGTTGAAATTTAGTACATGGACTAATTCATAATGGCAAATTGCATTCTGAATATTTGTGCTTAACAAAGAGCTAAACTTAGATTTTTTTTTATGCAATGAGTTCAGCATTTATTCTTGGTAATGAAGATGTCAGAGTGTACAAGCTGAAATTTTGATGGCTAATAGGATTATTGGCTTGTTGGGTACACCGTCCTGAGGACCATCAGGATGTTGAAATTTTTAGCTCAAAATCTCTGTATTTATAAGGAATAATCAGGTTAAAAATGGGTGTGATTTGGCTGTTTATCAATTGGCTAATTGCATTCTATTGTCGGAGTTACCTCCTCCTTGGCTCCTTAAACCAGGAGAGAAACAGGTCATTTCGACCTTGACCTTTTGGTTGTGCTCCCTACATTCTGTTAACCCGAGGTAGAGACTAGCAAGTTACCTTTTCAGTTTAGTTATATTACGAACCTAGTCGTAATATACTTCTAGGCATTTTTAAGCTCTAATCATTTTTTAGATAGACTTTACTGTGTTAGCTTACCAATTCTCTTGCTAGTCTCCCTTACCACAAGACAGTGACGTCTCGCTAAATTTAGGGTCGGCAACTGAAACAGTCAGTACGCAGGCTCCTGGTCTCCGTGGCTAGGACATCGACACACCGGGCTGTGTATTAAGTTACGCTCCCATTTCTTTTTGTCTGCCAACTTGATGATAGTTGGAAAGTTTCCTTCTCTCTCTCCTTCACCTCTTGCTTCTGGCTCCTTGTCAACATTCGACTCTTGGCATTCCCTCCCTACTGGCTGCCTGCACGTCATCCATAACCTTTCTCGTACACTATGTTTGGAATTATTACGGGAGGTTACTAATATCGGACTCGACCAGCTGACGTGCAACGCCTGCACTGGACTTTTGACATGCCCGAACAACATCGCAACGCCATCTCCTCTTTCCTTCCCAACACGTCAAGTTGGCATCCCGGCAACGACCAACATCAACTTCAACTGCAACGACCAACAGCGATCATCCTGGCAACGACCAACATCAACCTACAATGACCAGCAGCAATTATCTGCAACGACCAACATCAACTTCAACTGCAACGACCGCCTGCAGCGACCAGCAGCGATCACCTGTAATGACACCTGTAACAACCAACCTCGACCATCAATGCCTGCACTGGAACGTCTGCATCTCTACCGTTCCGACCACCTTTATTTCTTTATTACTCTTCTAGAATAAATTAACTTATATCCTATATATCCTCGTTCTGTCTTCTATGTTGTTTCACCTTGTCAGATTTAACATCTATGAAAATGCTAGCAGGCCTCTCGTGACCTCATCACCTTTTGTGATACTGTGGGCGCTCGAGGGGTCCGCTACACTATTTTATTATTTGTCATAAATGATGAACATTAAAATTCAATTTTTCTTGTGTTATGATTCATTCGTTGTATAAATTTGCATTAGTAGTAAATATATTTATATGTACAGATTTTTGTTTTAAAAATCAAATTTCAATATGAGAGTAACTTGAAAATGTTGAGAAAATTACGAGATAATCCACTGTATTATTGAAACTAGAGCAATTCAGTTAAGGAAATTACTGTTAACTGACTTTTCATATGACTAGTTCAAACCTTGCAAGTAAATAAAAGAAATGTGTTTAATTATTGCAAACTAATTTACTCATTTTTGTTTCATTTTCCACAATGTTTTAGCCACATAACATCCATCTAACAAAACTCAGGCAAAGTAAATATTTTCGTGTCCACTAAAATATCAACCACAATATTTGTAAACCAATCACACTCAAGAAAACACTTACATCTTAAAACACACCAATAAAATCATAGATTACAAATCAGAATGTTTGTTGTATTAGTCATCCTTATTTTTAGGAAGATACCGACCAAATATTGTACGGACATAGTAGAAGACATACCATGTGACTTCTTAGGGCCAATTAGGAATAAATAAATAATTTAATTCTGGAGTCGATATTGTTCGGAAAAAGTGTATAAAAACATACAAAATCCGTTCCCAAAACAATATACACGCAGCTGCCACCAATCTACACACACCTCTCACTGATGACCTTCATGACCTCATGTTAAAAATGACAGCGTTGACAAACTCCAGACCATGGCAACACCGCCAACAGTAAGAAACAATCCGTATCTCTTGTATCCGTTTTTACTATGAATCACGCACACACATGTTGACTTTTCATACAAACACACATATCACAACATTTTATTGTTTCTCACACACATACACAAAGACAGTTTATATTTTATTTCAGAACTTTATCAACCCAAACAAAAGACATTAATTTTCACTCTATTATCAACTGTTTGTATTCCTATCGTCATATTAAATCAAAGTTTATTTGTTGAAACTATGTTGTCTTTTCTGCTGAATTTTATTCCTTCAATGAAAAGCATTTGATCATTCTAGACAGCCAAATTACAAGCGACCCTGTAACGATATTTTGTTAATGTATTGAATCCCAACACTCCAAATTTGAACATTCAATGAAAAACCGAGTAGAAGGATTCCTACAATATAATGTACAAGATAATGTAAGTGGAGAAATGAATTTGTTACTTTTTTTTAATTTGATGTACATGATCACAGATTGCAAGCTGACAGACAAAGTGAAAACAACCATTCCATACAATGTAACCAATTTGCCTTCACACTTTGATACCACTTCTAGCAAACCCTTGAACTATTTGAACTCATTAAAAGATCTAGTGCAGAATTTACTAAATCATGTCTTGAGGGTATGGTGTATGGAAAAATAAGTAGAGAAAAAGCAAAACAGAGGAATAACATAATTCTATGGTCACTAACTAATGAGTTGGAGAGCCTAAGTTTCACAAAATTGCATTAAAGGGTGAGAAATGAGTAATGTTAGTTCACAATCTACCACGGATGAAAAATATATGAAAAATATATGCTGCCATTAAAACATTTTACTGCCATTTTGAAGTGATGCTTACATTTAATATTTGGCTTATTTGAGATATTTTATAATACTGCTAGCAGCATTCTTCTAGGTGTATGAAATTAAAAAAAAAAATGAAATTAAAAAACAAAAAAATCTTACCACGGTTTGACCCAATCAAATGCTTCTATTCTGGTCATATACGGTTGCACTTCTTTCACTAAGAAAGAAAGTGGCATTCCATGCATGTTTCCAGTCAAAGAAGCAGCTGGAGGGTTTATGTCAGCATGAGCATCAACCCAAAGAATGACAATGTTTGGCTGGGACAAGGTATGGCCGTATATACCACCTGTAGTCAAACTGTGATCACCACCTAGTGTGATACACACCTCACCAGCATCAACAACTTTCTTCACTGATGAGCATATCTGAAATATTTAGGAATACAAGAATTTTTTATAAACAAATGCTGGTAACAATAAATTTCTCTGGGAATTTAAAAAAAAAAATTAGACATGAACACATCCAGACAAACATATTTGGTGTCTTTTTATGAATGTGTAAAATCTTTATAGAACATTGTTACAAATTACATGAGTGAAATGAATGCCTCAGAAAAATCAATGCTTGCTGTGCAGACATGTTTTGCAGCTAAATCTTCTCAATAGTAACTGTTTATAGTAAAAGGATCTTAGCTGTAACCTAATAGCAATGTAAAAATTTGTTGCATTTCTCTTACCACAGGAATAATAGGTTTCAACAGAAATATTAAGCAGGGTATTCTGTCTTAACTTACTGACTTAATAATCAAATGACTTGTGATTTAACAAATTATTTATTTTGAGCCTTATATAAAAGCAAAAATGAAACTTATTTTAACATTTTGATAAATAAAATAAAAACATAAAATAAAATAAATTTAAACAAAATAAAAAATTACTATCCTGAAAGTTATGTATCTTAACATAAACAAAACAATTTCTAAAGAAATGATGGATTTTTATTTATTAATCTGACAGATTTTATTATTTAAATGTTATTTTTAGGGGATACCCCTATCTAAGTAGACATTCCATTTATTTATTAAACAGTATATTTATTTATTTTTGTCAATCAGTCGAAATATTTGAGAAATCTTAAAGAAGAAATTTGTGCTCTCCAGCAGGATTCAAACCTGCATTCCTCTTAGAAGGAGAAACTGTTGTTAGATCTGATGTGTTTTAGACCATCTCAGCTACAGTGTGTGTCAATGATCAAGCAAAGTTAAATAGTGACTTGTAAATACAAATCTTTCTCAGACTCTTGAAACATTCATATCTACTTAGTTTAGCATTCTAATGTGAACAAACAAATTAGTTCTACTCAAATATGGCTATCCACTAAAAATAACATCTAAGTAATAAAATCTGTCAGATTAATAAATAAAAATTCATCACTTCTTTAGAGATTGCTTTGTTTAAATTAGGATAGAAAACTGAGTAGATATGAAGGTTTCAAGAGTCTGATTTGAGATTTCTCAAATATTCAGATCAGTAGATGAAAATTAATATACACTTTAATAAATGAATGGTGCATCTACTCATGAGTATTCACTAAAAATAATGTTTAAGCAATAAAAGAAAGTTATGTAAACATTTACAAAACTTTAATTTTTTAATGCTTTGAATAATTTAATTTAGGATTATTATTTTCTTTTAGTTCTTTTTAGTAATTTTTGACTTTTAAGTTATGATTAAAGTTCATCACCTACAGTAAATTTCTAACAATAAGATCATCAAAGCAGTCGTCTACTATCCACAAGTATACTGAAGGGAAAAGAAATAAATAGATAAATAAAAACTTTTGGAATCAAATGTCATTTAGCCAGAAGCTAAGACATTCCAGTCACGTGTACATAAGCAGAGTTACAGTTTGAATTGTGAGTAGTTTTCAAAGAACCTTTTGGTAAGTTTCAAGCTGCATATCATGATGTACTCTGGCCTTCTTCAGGTAGTTGGAATGTCAAACTGAACCCTTTATTTTACATGCTGGGATAGACTGTTCTAGTTCCATGTGCCATGTCTAATAGATGTCAGTTATCAGTTATCTCCTGTTAATTCCCCTCTCCAAGTTCTCCACCGGCTTAACCAGGTATTGAACTCACACTCTTTGGCTCCTGTCACTGGACTTAACTAACGCCTTTATCCACTGTACCATGTGTTCATTCCAAGCACCTGAAGAAGGCCGGAGTATACAACGGCCAAAATGTGATAAATATGGCAACAAAGATGACGATGATAGTCTGAACAATATATATATATATATATATATATATATATATATATATTTTCTGTTAACAATCCTAGTCACTTATGGGTGGGTCAAGTTGGTGATAAAGCTATGACATTCAACTTCAGTTGTTATCTAGCAATGATTCAGATGTTCCTCTCAAAGATTTATCCACTCCCCCAGCTTATAGTAGGGAACCTAGCCAGCAATTTTCTCAAAAATAAACATTAATTCAATAATATGGGCTTTTTTTAATTAAAGGATGAGATCTGGACATTGATTTATTGATATAAGTTCCAAATCTATTATTAGAAGACTGAAATTCAAAAAGGAATCATCTGCTGGTCTATCAAACAGAAACACTGTAAAGTGAGATAAAACAAACTCTTCTCTTTCTACGTGGATGTCCAAGGTATCATATATGTCTGAATATTCTCTATTATAAAATTAACTTTTACTAGTATAGCAGACAAAGTTTTATTGGTAGCTTTCCAATATTATTTTGTAACTTTGGCAAGGAACACAAGCATGTATACACACACAGAGAGTATAATCAACTTATTATTCTTTCGAATGAATTGTAATTACTAAGATAAATTTTACAAAGATCATAATTTGATACATTGCATTTCTGAAAAAATACACACTTACTAGTAGATTTAAGTTGTTTCAATATAATTCCCACTTAACCATGAGGATTCTGTGTAAGAGTTGAGATGTAGAATAAATGTTCAGTCTCATAAAAAGCTACTTTATTCCATTTTTATAACATTCAAAGAATATATTGACCTAGAATGTTGCGATAAGCAATGACAACATTAACATAAAAAATTAGTAACTAATTCTAAGTGGGAAAGAAAATCACATAATTAGTAATGTGCTGCTTTTGTACATTTAAAATTCACAAGAAAATTTATTTTAAATGATGAAAAGGAAAAATCTACAAAAGCTTGTGGGATTACCTTTTTGCCAGCTTCACTGACAGATTTCAAGTTATTGATATTGTGCAGTTTTGGATCATCTTTGAAGTCCTCAAATTCAAGGTCTCCATAATCATGCACTTCATGGCCTGTTGAAGAGAAAATGAGAATATTCAACATTTCCATAGTTATTACTTTTTGATAACAAACAAAGATAGATAAACTAGTAAATAGCAATGTGTCAGGTGTACACAGTGATAAAATTCTATACAATATATATTAGTATCATTATCATGTAAAACAAACAACTGACTCCTTAAAGGAAAAAAATCACTGATTTGCTAATTGAACTGAAGTGGGATGTGTGGGTTGTAACAGGGTAAAAACCCTGAAATTGACATTTTATAAATAGAAATGTAAAAATGATTTTTTAGGGTTAAAATTTAAATAAACAGAAAATTAAAACATGGTTTGTCAAATTCAACTTCAAGAGGATATGAACCTTGAACCAGAAATTGAAAGAAGGAAATGAGAATTTATATTGATAGCTGATAAATTAAGATTAATGTATTTTCGAGTACAGATATCAGTGCAAAGTGCCTTTTTAGGCAGGATGGCATTGAGATAGGTGATAATTGGAGAGGTTTTTTATGAACTCCACCTGGGGGGGGTCATAGGTTTGTTTGAAAAGGCTTAGTACAAGGTTTTAGAATAGGCAAGGGCTAAATTAATTTGAAACTGAGGACTAGCGAGAAACCAGATCTCCCTTTTCTGTGGCAACAATCTTCTGCAATTTTATAATTATCATTATTTTGGATTTATGGCAGGGAATCCTTCACCAGTAAGAGGGACATTTGTTTAATGTAAGGGAATATAAAGATAATGAAATGGGTATTGTGAATTGTCATTTTCTGTGGCTTGGTTAGATAAAGTGAAGTCATTAATACTAGTTATTGGAAAAGATTTCCCTATATAAAGCCAGCATGCATTTCACTTGGCAGTCATATTCCATAAGGGTAGGAAATGGACCAGGTTCAAGCACATTTCTTCTCCCTAACCTCAAATATGGATTAAAAAGCAGGATAGACTGAACTCTCAAGCTTTAAGTGGTAACCAGTTTAGGAGAATGACCACTCTGAATGTAAGACTGTGGAGAAGGCAATGGGAAACCACTATTATCTTTCCCAAGAAGTCATGGTAATTCATAAATAATAAAGGAAGAGGATTTGTGGAGATCCATAGATGTTCTACATACAGAGAAAGAAAAAGCTTGAGACTAACTTGTTAACCACTACTCTAGATGGCAATGCACTCTCCATTTACACACTTCAGCACTTTTTAATCAACAAAAAGTCATTTCTTAATACACTTCTTTCTTATTTTATGTGCCATGTTCCTTCAAGATGTAGGTGATCATGCCCCCACCTCCTCCTGTCCCTTGTAGCTCTTAATAAGCTTTGTCTTTTTGTTATTTCTCCCCGAACCTGTTCTGCCATCCACTTGCTCAAGCCCATTAAGTATATCACATGTTGCTTTTCCTTGTCCTTCTATCTGTCCTGTGAGTATCAGATTTTCCAAGCCCTCCTTCTTCATTATGTGCCCCAGAAATTTCAGCTGCCTCTTCCTGATAAGTATAAGTTTCCTTTTTGTTTCCCTTCTCTCCAAAACCTTGTCATTGTTCATATGTTTGGCTCATGGTATCCTTAGCATCCTTCTGTAGAACCACATTTCTGTTGTTTTGAGTCTTCATCCTTGAGGAGATTGTCCAACATTCACTGCCATACAGGAAGACAGATATCACATAATAGTTCAGTACTTTTTCTTTGCTTCCAATGAAACTTTCCTGTTTGGTAATACTCTGCTTAGCTTTTGAAATGCGTCATTGGCCATCCCAGTATGTCTTCAGATCTCAGTGTCACACTTTCCGTCCTCTGTTAGAACACTTCCCAGGTATTTAAATTTCTGTAACTACTTAGTGTCCCCGGCCTGTAAATTGCATTTTGGGTTCATCTTTTTGCTGATGACCATGCATTCTGTCTTCTTGTAGTTTATGCTTAGTCCCTTCTTATCACTCTCCTTTGTGACCTTCTGCAGGTGGTTTTGTAGTTTCCTTTCTGTGACTGCTATCTTATATTGTTAAGATTATGGCCGCCAATGATGAATCCTGTAGAATCCTCTCAGAATTGCCTCATTGAATAAGTCTGGTGAATATACTCCTTTCTATTTTTATATATCTACTGGACTCATTTTTTATCCACACTATTTACATTATTCAGACTATTGTTTTTATCTTTGTCACCATATTAGAATGTTTTGACCATTGTACACTCCGACCTTCTTCAAGTGGTTGGAATGTTGAATTGAACCCTTTATTTCGCTCACTGGGGTAGACTGTTCTAGTTCCACGTGCCATGTTTAATGGATGTCAGTTATCAGTTATCTCCTGTTAATTCACCTCTCCAAGTTCTCCACTATTAAGAGTATTGAACTGTCACTGGATCTAACTAATGCCTTTATCCACTGTGCCATGTGTCCTTGAGGACATCTGTGTATGAATTTCTGGGTATTATAAACCTAATGTCTCAGCAACCTTTTTTATCGGTGCTCATAATGCAATTTTTTGCTGTTATCATTGCATGTTTTTACCAGAGCTCATATTGCAATTTTTGTTGTTATTATCACTTTTCTCTGGCACTCCTTATTACTGGTTCCCATATTGTATTCATTTCTATGCTTGGTCGGCTCAGGAGATTTTTGTGGCCTAGCATATGTGCTGATTCCTTAAGTTTACGAATTTTCCAATGGTGTTCTTTGTCTATGATCTCAACCTGATCCCACAGAGGGCAGTGATCTCCTTTTTCTCTCCATATGTGGTCAGACATGCCTGATTTTTCCACTTCCCCTTGTGTTACAGCTTTCTGGTGTTCTTGAAGCCTTACCTTAAGGGGGCGGCCTGTCTCTCCTTTATATATATTTCCGCAGCTGCACGGGATAGTGCACACACAGTCTTTAGTCATGTTCTCCTCTATGGGGGGGGGTCTTACTCAGAAGAGAGATATCTGCGAAGTGTCGTCCAGCTTTTGAAGGTTGTCCTGATGTTTTATGGACTGCAGATCCTTTGCATTTTCTCTGATAACCCCTTCACATAAGGCAGGCAGATTGTTTTCTGAGTGTTGTTGTCCTCCTCTTGTACCTGCCTATCTCAGTTTTTTGGGGCTGCTGCCATGTACCCAGGGTAGTTGTTATGTTGTAGGTTACTACTTATACTGACCAATTCTTTATGTAATGTCTCTGGGTCGCCACTTATGACTTTTGCTCGATGTTGTAAGCAGCAGACGATCCCTTTCTTTACACTGTATGGATGGTGGGAGTTGAAATTTTTTATCCATATGCTGGTGGTTTGCTGCCAATAGAGATTTTTTATTATTCTAATGTCTTTCCCAAATATTTCAAGGTTAATGAGCATCTCTAACAGATCTTTGTCGCATACTTTGTCGAAAGCCTTTGCATAGTCTATAAAACACAGGTATATATTTTTCTGCATTTGTATTGCTCTTTCTGATGACATTCTGAGCATAAATATCGTGTTCCTTGTTTCAGCATTTTTAACAAACCTAAACTGTTCTTGTCCTATCACTGGCTTGATACTGCTGCAAGCTGTATTCATCAGAATTCAGAGGAATACTATTGTTATATGGCTCATTAGGCTGATTGTTTGGTGGAGTTCACATTCGTTTATGGCTGGTTTCTTAGACAGTTCTATGAAAATAGATCTGCTTAGGTCTTCCAGTATATCACCACTGTTGTAGATTTCATTTATTATTTCTGTAATTTTGTCTATGCCAAAATCATCTAAGGCTGCTGTTATATTCCGTATTTAGTTACGTGGGCGATGTGAAGTCAATGTGGGTGAAATACTGCGTTTGGTTGCAAAACAATGAAATTCAGAATCGAAAGAACAAGAAAGACTGTAGATATATTTTATAGTCTCTTTTAGTGAGGAAAATAAGAACAAGTAAAAAGTTCGTATTTAAGAAGTTGAGGGAAAGGTACCCTTTGACAAGGCGTTGGACGAGAGTTCATTAGCAGCAGCAGTCACATGCTTCGTTTCGTCGCCGGGCCAGTGTGTCAGGAGCGAGCGACGTGACCCTTCTGCCTCCGCCGTTGAGTGGCACTCCTTTTGACCTTCCCGTGTTGAACTTATACACGCCTATCGGCTCCAAATGGCAATTTTTTGAATACGCGGGAGACGGTCCGATTGGTTGATTTAATTCTTTTCATTTTTTTTTCGAGTTTATCCCAAACGGAAGTATCTGCGTCGAGCCTATGCGTAAACGTGTAGTTTTCATTTCGAGTCGGGGACTCGTGATGGTAACTTCCGTTTATCGAAGCAGGGCAAGATCTCATCTTGTAACACTGCCAGCATCTCTATTACAATTACAATTCTTTGTTTCTGTTCAATTTGGCCAGTGCATCTACCACTTTGGTTTATAGCATTTCCAGCTCATCAGTATTTCTCTGTATTGCCAGTTGTTCTCTTTTGTTGTTCAGGAGATCTCCAATATATTCATTCCAGTGCTGAAGAATTTTTTCTTTCTCTAATATGAGCATTCCATCCTTGGATTTTATGCAGATTGTTGATAAGCATGCCTTTTGTCTTGTTAGTTCATTTATTTTTTTATGCATATCTCCTTTTACTGTGATACTAATTCTCTCTAATTGTGCACATTTTTCATTGAGCCATTCTTCTTTATCCTGTTTGCATTTGTTCCTTATATCATTGTGTAGTTTTCTGTATTCTGTTCCATGTCTTGCATTGTTTTCTGTATCCTTTGGATCATGTCAAGAATATCATCTGTGATCTTTGTTTTACTTCTTTGTCTCTTCTCCTTTGTGACGATTTCACTAAAGCTTCTCTTAGTATGTCCCATTTTGAGTTTCCATTTCCATTGTGTCCCACATATCTTCACACTGTCCATATATTTTTCCTTCAGATTTGGGTCATTCAGGAGTCTGTCGTATTGCAATTTGGGTGCTGCATTAGGCTTCTTCAGTTTCCATTGTTTCACTTTTAGCTTACATATAACAGGGAGGTGGTCACTTCTGCAGTTGGCGCTTGGATAGATTTTGCAATGAACAAATACATTCC